AGTCGGGGTTCTTCGGCAGCTCTGGCGCAGCGGACAAGGAGGTCTATAGGGCCGATATTATGGTGCAGGACGCTTGTGCGATTAATCTGGCCCCCGGAACGATTAGCGCCTACACTGCGGAGTGGGAAGAAAAAGTGCGGACGGAGCGAGAGCGTGAAGCTGAACTGGAAGGGCTCAGGAACACCGTGGCCAACCAAAGTGCTCGGATACGCCTCCTAGAAGAGCAAGCCGAGGCATCTGATAAAGAGCATGTACAGCTTGCTTCAGAACTCGTGCACGTCAAGGTGGAAAATGAGGAGCTCACCGACATCAATGATGCTCTGAAACTTCAGGTTAGCGAGTTGAAGATTGTTGTGGACAAGCAGCCCGCAGAGGTTGAGGAGAAGCTTCGCACAGAAATGGACCGGATAATGAAGCGCAACATGGAAGTTCAAAATGAAAATCGATCGTTGTCAGAGCAGATGGCAGAGATGGAGAGGGAGCTCGTGGAGGCGAAGATGCAATGGGCTGAGGTAAGCATTCAGCGATTGTTGAGATGATCTGTCCCAATCTAACGTTTTGCTGCAGATACACGAAAATTATGAGAACCTCAAACAGAAATGGAGTGATCTTCGCAAAGCTCTTGATTAGACTTGCGGATGTGTTATGCAATCCGATTCCGCGTCGTCTACCACGTTCAGCATTCTTCCGAACTCGATTTCTGCCAAACCGCTAGTCATACGGAGCCATTGTGCACTGGCAGTTTCTCATATACATTTATGACGCCTATCCGCCGGCCATGACCAGCTTATACTGCATGTCTACGGGAGCTCCACTGTGCAATTTGATGGATGTCGAAGTGTAGAAAATGTTGTTTCATTGTGACCTCCGCACGTCTTGCGTTCCCCTCGGCCTGTGGTTACTGGGAAGGGAAGACTACAAACACCTGTCCTCGACAGCTTTGACGAGTAATGCGATGCCGCTTGCGAGGGACACAATTGCAATTACTGGGTCTCAGTTTGCCGCATTTATGCTGAACCAGTAATCTTCCTCATGTTGACTGGATACTATTGCCAGGTCCGTGACCGGAAAGTTCTGGATTTGCGATTATGGCAAAGAGCATACTTGACGTATGCCATGTATATCATCGAATAGAGATTATCCAAATACGTGCATGAACTCGGCATTCAGCCTAGATTTTCTTTACAAGCATGACCGGTCCTCTATTCCCGTAATCATATCACCATAAGTCTTCAAGAGAACTAAACAAGATTAAGTTAATCACAGAATGCTCTCGAAATAAGTCGTGAGAACATCTTCCTTCACCGGCCCCGCCACAGCCTTCAGCGCCTTGTGCGCCTCACACTCGTTATCATAGTACTTCATGTCCTCCATCGAGGCAAAGGTCGTCTTCACAGAGATATTGAACCCCTTGTTGCGAGGATCCGGGAACGACTCGCCAGCCGCCGCGCTGAGAATATACGGTTTCCCATCCTGTTCACAGGCTGGCGTCAATACCCATCCAACTTCAGAGCCCGAAGAAACAAACCTTCACAGCAGTTTTCGCAAGGACCTTGTACTGCTCCAAGACGCGGTCACGGTCTTCCGCCTTGGGGACGTTGAAAAGAGTGATGCGTTCGATGGGGGCCATTTTCGAGACTCGGGGCGTGTAATTTCGGCGGCGTATCCAACAGAAGGTCGGATCTGTCAAGGTAAAGTAACGTACTTGAGATGGAAATAGAGAGGAGGGGAGGCTGATTTTCAAGTAGGCTCGAGCTACTCACTTCCGCAATCGGATGGATATCGCCGGGTATTTATATGGGCCTGGGGGATCCCCGCGATGTGGGGTATGTGTTGACTTTCGGGTTTCCTAGTAATGGCTATGATAGTTTCTTGGTGTCTCTATCTACATGCTTTTTGGGATTGATCCGATTATTGTGCATGGTACTGTGTAGTACAGGCCCGACTGCCGACGAGTGAGCTCTTCCGACGGATGCTTGGAGTACCTAGTATCTACCCTCGGTTCAACAGCCACTGAAAGCACTCTGCAATACCTGTCTAAAACCATACAGTCCTGGGATGTTGAACACTACGAAAAGTGTCGTCCGTCGTCGTATCCCATTTCGCACATTTGATTTGTATGTTCATAGTTGGACGCTTTTGAGTAGACTGTTGCGCTGATGAGAGGAAGCGCGGAAATCCTCCGTTGCGAGCGCCATATTCCGCCCCGTTATCTGATGAGCTTCGGCTAAATGGGTTACCACAAGTGGTGCACTCGCTCTTCTTCCGCTCAGCCTTCATAAGCATATTGGTCATCGTTCCTGACTTCGAAGGTAGTCGGACTTGGTTTTCAATTCAGAGTAGTGAGATGGTGAAGAAACACACGTGCGCGGTCTCCGACTTATCAGACACTATGCAGTGAAGGAACTGCGGAATAGAGGGTATCTGCTGTGAAGTGCTCTTTACAGCCATTGGAATGGTGACACTGCTCAATGATGAAGGGATGCTTGTGACCGCCAGATATGGAGGTATGCCGGTTAGATGCGAGCGGTTGGAGCTCTGAGAGGCTCGAGCTGGTCCTTTGATCAAATGAGGTCTTTGATCCTTCAGCTTCGCAGATGGAGAAGGCATACCATGCCTGCACTCCACAGTTTCATATTAACGCACGACTTCATGGTCTCGGAAGCGATTATTACATCCTTTGATACGACCAAGCGAGCGATCCGCAAGAAAATCAGGTGGATATTGACAACGGTAAGGAGAGTAAAGGAGAGTGAGATGATTTAGCCGCGGATTCTAACAACGATCGATGGCTCGGAAATATTCAGATCAACGATGGAGTGGACTATCCATTAATTCAGTCTCTAGCCGTGACGGCGGATGTTGATCTAAGCTAGTCTGGTCTACAGAGCCGACCTGGGCCGCCCGATATCAAGGAATTAGTCTAAAGGTTACCCCTTCGTGCTTGCTCGCGTTCAAAAGCCTCGAACAGACTCTTGAAATTTCCAGCACCAAAGCCGTCAAAATTGTTGCGCTGGATGACTTCGATGAATACCGTGGGCCGGTCGAGCACATGTTTGGAAAAGATCTGAAGCAAGTATCCCTTCTCGTCAAAGTCCACCAGAATATGAAGCTTTTCTAGAACGGCAATATCCTCCTCGAGTGTCAGTCCGGTGTGTGACAGTCGCTGACGCAGGTCCGAGTAGTATGCGCTGGGAACTTCGAGGAAGGATACACCTCTTTCTCTGAGTCGAGTGACGGCTGTGACGATGTCCTTTGTTCGGAAAGCAATGTGTTGGACACCAGCGCCGTTGTAGTAGTTCACGAACCTGTCAGTTGGTCAGCTCGATCACCTGTATACTGTTTTGTCAGGCGGTGCAGCAGTGACCTACTCCTCGATCTGTGACTTCTTTTTACCCTGAGCCGGCTCATTCATGGGCATCTTAATCACTTCGTTGGGCGAGGCGACGACGATCGACCGCATGGCGGAATATTCGCCACACATGTTTAAGTCATCTACAGTCCAGTACCGATGGAAGTTAAGGCAGTCCTCGTAGCTGAAATGACGACAGTTAGCAACCTTCACCCTCAAGACAGCGCGGAACAGCAGCTATACGTACTACTTGACAATTGGATCGACACCGTTCCACGGCTGATTGCCAACGCAATGATCTATCTCAATGAAGTCAATCGATGGCAGCAACCGATTGATGGGATCGTCGTCTGTTACGGCTTCATAGCCTGGTAGGAAGGGGCCGGAGTAGTGGTGACGATTGATCAGCGAATGCACCGTATCCTCATAGGTACCGATCGTGGCCAGGGTGATTGAACCATGCTGGTCATCCTTCAAGGTTGTCGGGGCTGCAACTGGAGCAGCTCCGTGATCTACTGCTCTTTTCCAGACAGCTTTGATATCGCCCTCTATCCGGAACGCAACATCCTTTACACCGTCGCCGTGCTTGTTCAGATGACTGTGGATTCCCTCCAACAATCTCCGATCTGCCTCGGTAACATCATCATCATATTCGCCTGTTCCTGACAAGGAACGGATGGGAGAAGTGAGAACGAAGATAGCTTGGCCGTTGGAGACGACGTGCGATACGACGCTTCTAGAGCCAGTTCCGGGACCGCGATAAGCGATCTGCTTGAATCCCATCCGCGTCACGTAGTAAGAAGCTGCCTGTTTCGCATTGCCCACATACCACGTAATGTGGTCAAATCCCACATATTCCGGGCCTAGATTGGAAGCGAAGATGTTCTCCTCGACCTTATTTGAGACTGTCATGGTTTTGACATGGGGGGAGTGAATTTATCTGCCTCAGGAGTAGCACAGGGAAAGAGAATGCAGGGGTGAAGCTTTTGCATCTTCTCGTAATCATTATGAGCAGTAGAGGTGTTATTATTACAGTATCTAGCTATCACTTCACCGACCCGGTCCCGGCACTTCGTCACAAATTGTTAATAGACTTTCAGTGTTCCGTAATCCCTGCAACCAGCCAGCCAACCAGACTTGGCTCAAGCTTAATAGTGCGACGCTTTTTCAATGGTTTTGGAGGTCTCATTTTAGCCCTGACGTTGTATGTATGACTGAGACCCGGAGAATCCATCCTAGGTCAGATTTATTCATTGCTACCATGGGTACAATTAATGTCACGGTATATTGATCAGCTTCTGTAGGACAAACTTCCACTCTCTTGGTTGAATTAGAGACGAGATTGTTCTTTTTGGAGCAAATTGGCCTTCTCATTGCTGACACTGGCCGTTGTGAGCCGGTAATGCCTCAATACCAGGAGGCAGAAGCGAGTGAGACTCTATATCACCTGCTCTCGGTCTCGAGTAAGACACCCGCAACATCCGCGCCTCCGTATCGAAGCCCCTAAATCTCTAGGGCCATTTTGTAGGCCATAGCGTCAAGATGTCCCAACGCTTCTCGGTTCTCTTGGGACAAAACCAGTGTCCTTCGTAGCTCTCGAACACTGGCTCTGTATCACATTCACATTTGCACCACTCCAGCACACCCATCAACTATCATTGACTGGCTCCGGCCGATTCTTGAACAACAGCTTGTACTTGATGATCTCCACAATCTCCAATTCCTCGCCCTCGGACTCGGCGGTCCTGTCGTCGTCGTCGTCGGGACGCTTCTTACGCTTCTGCACCAACGCGAGTGGCTGCGCCAGTTTCTTCACTTCCCCCGTCATCCGCTGGTACCGGCCGACATATAGATAGACTCGCTTCATCCATTTCGTGTCGTCCGGTGACGTGGTTTGCGGCGAGTAGTCAGGGAACATGAGTTTGCCAATCGGTGTCTCGAACGCGGTTATGGCAGCGTCGGGATCTTTGGCGTCGGCGGGGCGAGGGACCGCGCCCTGATCGTCGAGGGATGGGAGGTTAATTGTGCCTTGTAGTTCGAGGATTGCCAGACCCGAGGGCGTCTGTAGGATTTGGGGGAGTGGGTTTTGGGTGTGAAGGGGAGAGCTCGACGCGTGAGGATGGAGGGGTATCGACGGCATTTTGGCTTGAGAGGTTTTCTGGTGGTTCTTGGGGATTATATTCAAGCCTGAACAATTTCCTGGGAATGATTTGGCTTTTAGGCTTTGACACAATATACAATAGGCAAATGACGTGTAGGTCTTGTAGACTTGGGGAGAGGGATTAGCGCGTTGCTCAGAATCAACGGTCTTATCGCTTATCGATAAGCAGATATAATATCCAGCACAATATTATATACTGTCCTCTATCACTGCACAAGGCCGGTCTATTACGTTTTCGAAAGTTAAGATATCTTATTTCCCCGTTAGCTGTTTGACCAATGGACACTGATACAAGCACCGGAATTTATGGTTTCCAGATTTCATCAGAGAAAGAACTGGAGTAAGTGCTGCACATGGCTCAAGCTGATGAAGTACATCAGGCCTGCCACTCCTTAGCTTATTATTTCTTAAAAACGTATATATAGAGACGATCCTGTAACTGCCATATAGAGCTACTAGCGAGGGCATATTATAAATCATAAGCTGTGACGTGAATGAACACTAAGTGCCTGCTAGACATATCTTCAAATTTCCATGACTAGCGTGACCAGTGACGGATGATGGACCAACACATTCACGGACTTCACTAGCGCTGTACAAGGTATTGATTGTTAGGGTGTCTATAAAACAGAATCTTCTATGACGCTCCTTCTGCGTCTTGCCCATATCGGCTTTCTCAGGTGCTTTTCTACACCGACAACACAAACATATTTGGCATCCAGATCTTCTGCGCCTTGTACAGGAGGAAAACGGTTCTCTGCAATGCGATCGACCGAGACTCATATGCAAGTTCAAGAGAAATGAGAGGTCTGTATCTGTCGATCGTCTTGATTCCTTCTCTGTCGAACAAGCTGAGACTGCCAAAAGAGTCCAGGCACGTTCCGTATCTCCGCACCAGGATATAACTGACCTTTCCTTATCAGAGGCGAGCAATCTTAGTTCGGAGTACCCCAGTATCAAGCTGTTAGACATTCCTAAGGAAGTACGACGAAAACCCTGCCATGTGACTGACATCAGGTAGGCTAACAATCGAATAAGGACGAAGGCCACGCTGGTCAGACACATACAATTGCAAACATGTCGTACACTTCTTCCAAGACATGGATCTCAGACATAATCAAGGAATGTGACAGATTCGTGAGAATTTCGAAAGACTCTCTGTTTACCGCGCCCGAGTCGCCAAATGTCCCTGAAGCCTACTGCGAATGGCTTGAACATCGGGTGTTCATCAATCAAAGAACCCAAGAGGCAGAATCTCGACGCCGCACACTTAGAGCCTCAAAACGAGTCAGCCAGGCGAAAACCTCAATTCAGCCATTCGCCGGCAAGACGTTCAAAGACACTCGATCTTCCGTGCTGGCAATGGAGACGATATGGCTGCCTCCTACGAGCTTCCATCTTGAACGGCCTGTCGCTCCCTGGCCATGCAGCGACGAGCTCACGAGCGACGGTCCCATGAGAAGTATGTCTGGATATTCCCGTTTCCCCCCTCTACCTAGGGTACCAGGCAACGAGACCGTCAATTGGAGAAAAAGAGCCCCAATAACGCCGTACCCATTCGATACTTTTGGAACGCCCTGTCTAGGACACATCGCGGGCGCGCCAGATATCGAAGATGAGATGGCTTTCTTCGTCGGTCGGGCCTTGCTCGAGGAGATCAATATTGATGAATTCTAGACCGGCCCTGACTGGACGGACGATTCTGGAACGCAGCAGTTTTTATGAGGACGAGATACGTGGATGCGGCGAGCGCATGATTCTCTTTGACTTCTCTGTGTATTAAGGTGGTCGTGAAACTTGAGTGCACCTCGTTGACTGTGAAAGATTTTCTCTTTTCTTGATCAGATGTCGGACTACTTGACGTAGAAAGGCCGTTTAACATCTGAGTGTCGATCTGTTCCCCGAACGAAAGGGGCGCAAGACTGTATTGAGAACCTACTGTGGATGATGTGCGAAGGTCATCCTCAGGAGAACACCGGAATCGTCCAAGGTATACCGGTAGACTCCGGACGGCGACAATACGTTTAGCCCATCGCGTAGTTTGTGAGATGTTTGGCATGCTGCGGTCTTCGAAAATTTAGTATCTCCAGGAGTTACTACGGCGGGAGAAGGGATGGAGCGTTCCGTTATAGAAAGTGAATGCTCGCAGCAGCATTCACTGCGATATCTTACGATAGCAGACTTGCTCGAGATGCTCGAGACCATCTATAGCCTCCTTTACCATCTCTTCCCCAGATGACCCTGCAGGCCCTTGCATTTTGCCGTAACGCAAATCACTCAGCTCGCCAACTGTGGCGCTGAGTCCGGACAACACAGTTGTTGCATCTTGGTCCACCTGCGAAATCTCATGCTCGATATTTGAGCATGCGGTCTCCATTGCGGACAAAAGGCTGGAAATGGAGTGGTAGTCACTGGAAGCAGCATTAATCCCCTGACCAAAGAGCTGGACATCCATGTCCATCTCCCGGCAGTCGTTCTCCTCCATGCCGTCGACGCCGGTCTTCATGATTGCTTTTCGAAGTTCGGCTTTTTGGGTCTCTCCTTGGCGGACTTCCTTGTCAATATTCTCATTGACGGTGTCCATGTCTTGCTCTCGCAATTGTTGGAGCTCCCGGTAAAGCACTCTGATATGCGGATGAGCCCGCAATTTCTTCGGAAAAAGTTCAGTAAATTGTTGCAACGAAATGATGGTCGGCAATGAAGCAGGCGAAAGCAGAAAATTGCTCAGAATGGATGCCTCAGACGGTGCCATACTGAAGTGATGGGAGACCAATAATAGTGTCAATGAGGCTTCTCTTCCTTCCTTTCTGTGTTTAGGGCGGGAAATATATTCAGACTCGTATGGTCTGTTTTGCTGGTCCTCGACAATTATATTCCTGTCTTTTGTGTTGGTCTCTCACTCCAGCAGAATAGGACGCTTGGCGAATAGGGATGATGAAGCCAAGACGCGTCTTCAGATTGATGAGGAAATTTGAATAACGCTTGGTAGATAAGTACAGAGATCCAAGGAGATGAAAACTTATGGTGAATTCACAAAAAAGGTTGCTGACTATTGTGCAACAATCAACAATTACCTTAAAGCATGGTTGTTCAAGAGAAAAAGAACGCCGGACAGAAAGGTGGACGCGTGCAACTCTAAAAAGTCCGTTCCGCTTCATTCTTACCTTCCACCCCGACGCCTCTCTGTCCTCCTTCAAACTGTCATCGAGACCTCAACCACGAATCGGTCAGAAGCATCTACCTTCTTCATAGCGGTCATCAATCGAATACTTGCTTGACCTGACCCTGTCGCGTCTCCGGAGGAGGTGTTCGGCTTTCTACATCTGGCTTCCGTGGACATTGAAACCTTCGCGTCTAACGCGGGGAACTATTTGATATACGACACTGATATCTTTGTATTGTGATTCCAATCATTCTTCTACAAAGATCAAGTCTATTGTCTTCGTCCGCCTCTCATTGACACAATTACTGCGGCCATTATTTGCTGATATCCCTGGTTGTGTTGCACGTGCTTCTGCGGACTCAAAGCCGTATTTAGGCTGCATTGCCAGCAACATCCTCCTTGGTGTCTCATCATTCTCATTCTTCTGGGAAGCCCGTGTTGGTGGCTAGAGCAATACTACCAAGTCCTCTTCCTCTGCTTCTTCCGGAGCAGACAACTTATTGATTATACCTCATCTATCTCGCCACATTCAAAATGGCGCCAGCAAGCCAATCTACTTACCAAAAAGACGAAAGAGTCCTTTGCTTTCATCATGAGATTCTATACGAGGCAAAGATCCTCGATGTTAGGCACACCGATGCTGAGGACAAGAAAAGTCCGTTCGAGTACCTAGTTCACTACAAGGGGTGGAAGAACACGTAAGTACGATCCTATGTTCGCTTTCTTATGTTGCGGGTGGCGGGACTCCTACGCCCATGCTGCTCTGTTGACTTGAGATTCTCCACCTTACCACATGCCTTGAGCCACCTCTGTCTCAATCAAGGTGCTAATGCACCTGTTTGAGTATATTCATGGAACTCTCAAATCGCGAGACTTGATACGTTGAATGGCTGCAGCTGACTTGATCCACGCAGATGGGACGACTGGGTGCCTCAAGATCGGCTCCGGAAATTTACGGATGAGAATAGGGAGCTCGCTACTACGCTGCGTCGTGAGGCAGAGGCTGCTTTTCGCCAGAAGAGCACAAAGACTACGTTGAAGAGAAAAGCAGGCTCCGATCGCGGCTCCGCCCGGGACAGCGAGGAGCGACAGACATCAGTTCCTGGTCGCGCAACCAAGAGGGCCAGAGACAATGAAATTGAAAAGGTAAGCAAAGCCCTTCCACAGTGCAGATTGCTGGGACGTGTCCGCTGTGTCCTTGAGGGATACTGCAAGTCTCGTTGCTTTGTCCACACGATATTCACGATATGGCTACAGGAAGAACATTTCTATACACGGCCATCCGTGAGGATTGTAATGCCGGACAATTTGAAATCCCTCCTCGTAGATGACTGGGAAAATGTGACGAAAAATCAACAGGTTGTTGCTTTGCCGGCCAAAGCATCAGTCAACCAGATCTTGGAAGATTTTATCGCGGAAGAGAAGCCCAAGCGTACGAGCTCGGCTGATCTGGATGTCCTCGAAGAAGTCATCATGGGTATCAAGGAGTACTTCGACAAAGCCCTTGACAAGATTCTGCTCTACCGATTCGAGCGCGAGCAGTACAAAGCCCTCCGCAAGAAATGGGAGGCGGGATCCGGTGAATATTCTGAGAAGGGCCCCCTCGATATCTACGGGGCCGAACATCTAACAAGACTCTTTGGTATGCTTTTCGATCGTTTGTTTTTCAGAAGTCCACTTACTTATTTATTCGTCCAGCAACTATGCCGGAGCTCATTGCGCAGACAAACATGGATCTCCAGTCCACCAACAGACTCCGGGAAGAGTTATCAAAATTCACGCTCTGGCTCAGCAAGAACTCTGACAAGTATTTCGC